CTAAATCCATTGGTTGGGTACTGATTGATATTTTGTCTTTGATACATAATTTAGTCTCGCCTGAAAGTCGCAGTATGCCGTACACTATTTGTATGAAGCTTTATATTTCATAAGGTAAAAAGACCTTAATGCATCATATCTTGTACCCACGGGCACTTGTCTCTGAAAAAAATCCTATATACCTTAATATAACACACTTGTACTTAACTCGCAATTTTGAAAAAGGTCACCCGGTCGCGAACTTCCGTTATATTTCGATTTCTCGGTTGTCAACCCCACTAAAACTTGTTATGCCGTAAATCTTAATTGATTTATCAACACAATGGTGTATAACACGCCTACCTTTGTTGTCGGAATCATTCGTAGCAGGCCTCCCAAAGTATGTCAACCGTAATTATTTCGTCCATTTCTCAGATACTATAAGTAGCAGGTCAACTATATTTGGTGTATAAAATGATTGTAAGGTGTACATGTCCGTCTGGCAGTTATCACCTGACCTTGACCTCATTTTCATGGTTCATGAATCAAAGTAAAGTTGTTTTTTTTTGTCTGTTTCAAAGATACTATGAGCAATAGGTCAACTATATTTGATATATTGAATTATTGTAAAATGCATTTGTCCGTCTGGCAGGTATCATCTGACCTTGAACTCATTTTCGTGGTTAAATGGTCAATGTTAAGTTTTTGTGTTTTAGTCTGTTTCCAAGATACTATAAGCAGTAGGTGAATATTTGGTATATGAAATGATTGTTAGTTGCACATAGCTCTAGCTTGTAGGTATCATATGACCTTGACTTTATTTTCATGGTTCATTGGTCAATGTCAAGTTTTTGTGGTTAGGCCTGTTTTCTATAAGCAACAGATAAGCGATTTTTGGTGTATGGATTTTTTGTATAGTGTACTTGTTGGTATGACAGAGAACATCTGACCTTGACAAGATCTAAAGGATCGTTGAAAATTGTAAGTTTATGTGATATGTGTAGTAAAACCTTTATCTAAGAGAATTTCAACATAAAATCAATCGTGATCAGTTAAGCAGGCTACACGTTACAAGGTGTGAAATCTTGTTTTTGTTGGTTGTTATTGGCTTTGAACTAGCTTTCAGTAACTGTCAATAAAGTCAGATCAGTACTTTTGTTTCCGTGTTTTTGTGCTTATTATATAGATCTGACGAACAAGCTCATTTCAACTAATGTTTATGGTTTGTTCTTATGTTATGCTGTTACACCACTGTCTCAGGTCAGGGGAAGTAATGGATGTCGTCAAACATGTCTGATCCCGCCACATTCTGTATGTGCCTATCTCATTAGCAATCATACGACATCTTATTTTTATATTTATACATTATTGATAACTGTATAACAATACTTCTCGAAAATAATATGGCAAATATCGTTACTTAATTACTCCTTTCTATAAAGCAAAAACCGAACTAGAAAAACTTTAAAAATAAGAAATTTATATTCAATTACTAAAGAGGATTTTTTTTTTCTAAAAACAAATTTTCAGATTACAAGTGCGATGACATATCGGCTTCTTTAATTTTATCCTCAATTGACTTATAATGTGTCCCATAGTTCCGTCGCATATTCATTTGGTTAAAACCTGGATATCACGTCTTTCGTTTCAAAGTTGGTATATATAACCTCCGTCCTTTGGTGTACTTTTATCTGAATAGTTTCATTAAAGTTTAATTCTAATCGGATGTAATTGTATTTCAATAGCAATTGAATTCAAATTTATTTGATGTTAATGTACAAATGTGAATTAATGTTTCGGAAGTCAAAGTATGCAGAGTTAAAAACAAATGACGTAATTGTTCAAGCTAAGGTTCTGGTCATGAATATTACGAATTGAACATTGCAAAAGTACAAGAGGAAATCACTATCAAATTTAAAATAAATTCACTATACGGGTATATATTACCTTAAAGTGCAAATGTTCATTGAATGCACTTTATTTATACATAAATCTTGACAATTATACTTTTCTCTGATCTTAAAATGTATATGTCTTTTATAGCTTTTCTCAGTACTTTTTTTCAAATGGACATTTGGATTCTTGATTTCCTTGTTCAATAGTATTTTCGTTACTAAAACTATGTTTTGTTTTTTTTTTTCTTTGATAAGACATCAATTTTATGACCTATACTGCCGATCCAAGTGCTAAGGATTTGACAAGAACCGTTTTGGGCTATATAGTTTGTGATTTAAAGTGGATTTTCATGTTTGCTTTTTCTTGTCATCATACTATTCGGCAATTAGATATAAATATTCGAGGGAAATTGTTTGCTCCTTTTTAGCGCAATCATATCAAAGTTTGCGGAAAATCGTATGCTCCTTTATGGCAAAATTTTACGAAAAATCCCGAGAAAAAAAAACAAAAATCAGAATGTAGTTTCTTTGCTGCCATGTTCAGTTGAAGGTTTTCTGGACCTTATACCATTTATGCTTCTTTCAGGAGCTTATAACAATTTGGAAATTTAATATGAGGCATGTGCTGCTAACTGGTGAGCTCCCAAAGGTTATTTTTTCAACATGTTAATTTTGCATGTTTGTTTTCATTGTCATCATACTTTTCGGTAATAATTAACAAATTGTCAAGAAATCATATGCTCGTTCCAGTGACCAGTATTCAAGGTCAAGTTTTCGAGGTCAAGTGCGTATCTCAAATAGTAGATTATTCATTATAGTGACTTGTGTAATTACAATAATGCGTCGATATAATAAAAATTATATTTGGTGTATGGCATCATTGTTAGGTGTACAAGTCCGTCTTGTAAAGTTTATCTTAACTTGACGTCATTTTCATATTTCATGGGTCAATGTTATGCTTTCGTGGTTAGATCTGTATCTCGGATTCTATAAGCAATATATTAACTAAAATGCAAATTTGAACCATTGGTAGAAATTTTCATGTGAACCCTGGGTTAATGATCCTAAGGGTGTCCAACATGAAAAATAATTAGGCCTTTGTTAGTTTTGTATCATTTTTAATTTTAGTTTCTTGTGTATAATTTGGAGTTTAGTATGACGTCCATTATCACTGAACTAGTATACATATTTGTTTAGGGGCCAGCTGAAGGACGCCTCCGGGTGCGGGAGTTTCTCGCTGCATTGAAGACCCATTGGTGGCCTTCGGCTGTTGTCTGCTCTATGGTCGGGTTGTTGTCTCTTTGACACATTCCCCATTTCCATTCTCAATTTTATCATGAACACTGGTAGATAGTAATTAACATTATCATTGAAGAGTTGTCTAAGCTTATCGACTTTTTATATTTGAGTTGAGACCAGAATTATGGACCAAAACGTAGCGGGTTATTCAAAAGTGTGCACCACATTTAAATAATTTTATTCTTAATTCTAAATTGTTAAGAGCTTTCGTGACTCCTGAGGCATGGTCTTTTATATTTATATTTTCCAATCACGTTGGCGCTGATAAAGTTTTCATATGAACCGTATTCAAATTGAGACATCAAAATCAAATCAAAATAATATAGAAAATACATTTTTTCTGCAATGAGAAACACATGTTGAATTCTATTACTTTCGGACAAAAATATTGACATCAAGGGAAACAAAAGGCGTTCAAGCAATCATTTCTCCTAGAGCTACCAAAATATTTGACAGTTTTATGATGTTACAGCAAATAACAGGGCCACATATCTTCGCCTTTCTTACTTATTTGTCTATAAAGATGGAGTATGTATTAATGCTTAGGCAAGCCGCACACAACAGACGCACCCCAATCATGAATAAATATATGTGGCCTCCCTTATTACGAACTGTTGAATTGTTTAACTTATAACGAACAATGTAAAAGCTATTTCTAGAATCGGGTTTTTGTAAAATGATGAATTTAATATATTACACTGGTAGATAATTAACATTATCATTGAAGAGTTTTCTAAGCTTATTGAATTTTTATATTTGAGTTGAGACCAGAATTAATTAAGTAAATACTTTTGGTAAAGTAAAACAATAAAGTAAAAGCCATATGCTTTTCTGTAATATGATATGCGACATTTTGATATTCTTTGTGCTAAACGTTACGCTGTTGTACTATATGTTAGTAAACAATTAAACGTACTTTTAGCTAGCCTTCAGTAAATGCAGGCATTCTTTGATACGTTAATAACTAGCAAGGTGTTCCATGTAGTTTTGTTTTTGTCATCTATAGTACTGATGTTATCGATTTCAGTGTATTTCTGAGCTCTGCGTTCTTCACTGTACCTTTTGTTGTTTCACTTATAGTAATAAAATAAGAGAAAGATTGAGTACTTAGAAGAACTTGTAGATCCTTTCAAAGGGTTATGTGCTTGTGCTTATGTTTTATAAGTGTCTTGGTCTGAATTTCACAATTCAGCTACGCAGACGAGACATTTCTAGGTATCGAAGCTCTATTTAATTTTATTTTTTGATGACCAAACAAATGCACCTACAATTACACGCTTTTTAAAAATATATTTGTATGACATTTACTGAGCTAAATCCAAACGTAGGTAGACTACGCCATACGTACATGCATTAAAGAATCACCAGTAAACATCCTCCTCTAGAATGTCACCTTTAAAGGACATCTAATACAACATAACTTCCTTCATATTTTCATTTGAAATCATATGCTAATAATTATCTCAAACATGTAAAAAAAAAAACGCGTGTTAAAAGAAATATAATTGGTGAATGACGTTTTCACGTAAAGAGCACATTTCTATTTTAATATTGTTACTTTCATTAATGCTTTCCCGACCAAACAAACCCCCAAAATAATCACGATAATCCAGCAAGATCGACGTGTTATGGATTTAGAGGAATATTTGTGTATAACTTATCAAGATATATGTAATTTTGGACAAACATTAATATTTACTTAATATTTTGGAATTAAATTAATCAACTCTCATTGGTGAAAAAATCACGTGGTTTGCTTGTCTTATCCTTACTTCACGACTTCTGTCAAAGTCATTTCAATTAAAAGCCGTTATGTAAGATGAGCAAATGGATTTAAGTAGCAGGAATGGATTTTTTACAACTGAAGATTTGGCTAATATCATTAATTTTGTTAAGTGAAGGATTCATGTTAAAAAGTAAGCTTTTTAATTGACTGCATGTATTCCATAACATGAAATATTTGTTGATGATTTTTTTTGTCAAATGTGTATAACATAATTTATTCGCCGGTTAATTCGGGTGAATTTTTTAAGCAAAATTTATATTTTGTTCATTACTTTGTTTTTTGCATCTGTATATATTTACAGAGAGAGTTAGATATATGTGTAACGAATTTACACATATATCTAACTCTCTCTGTAAATATATACATGTCGTCATGGATGCAAATTAAATTAATTTTCATCATATCATATGCAATTATTAGATATAACATCATTACCTTCTTTAGTAATCCAAAGAATCAAAATAAAGTTAGAGTTTTACGTTTTCATTTATAGGAGGATTGAAAACATACCGAACACCACCAACACCGTCAGAACCACCAACACCACCGCTACCAACGACTACAGTAGTTCAACTTACTGCAAAAACGTATAGGGCAATAGTGAACGAGTCTATACCTATTACATGTCCACAGAATCATATAGTACGAAAAAGAATGTCACATTCAGCAGATAGCTTACAAAGCATGCTGATAGAAAAAGGAGGAGTATTCGTTCCAGAACTCATGGCGACGGAAGATGATTCTGCAAGAAAATTTAAAAACTTGCTCAACTTGGGGTCATTTGTGGTACGTTGTAATACAAGTAATTCACTTATCAATATAATAAAGATAATAATCATAAATAATTTAAAAACTGGGAACAGAGATAAAAAATAAATATACTCCATCTGTCCATAGCTGAAAATCCCTTTACTTATTTAGAAGTAATTATTTATATGACTTTAATCTTTTGCTATATCTATGCTATGCAATGTGAACCCCAAACATTATCAACGAAAATAAAATAGGGTTGCACAGAGTATATAATAAAGATTTTGTGAATGTTTCATTGAAATCCACTCATTTCACTAAAAGGAATTGTGAAATGATAAATTGAAATGCACTTCGTTGTCTACGTAGACTTTAATATGGGAAGTTACATTGAAACCCCATCGCTTGTTTAAAAGGAGTTATGGAATGCTACATCGAAACCCTCTCGCTTGTTTAGAAGTTGTGGAATGCTACATCGAAACCCCATCGCTTGTTTAGAAGGAGTTATGGAATGCTACATTGAAAACCCCTCGCTTATTTAGAAGGAGTTATGGAATGCTACATTGAAACCCCATTGCTTGTTTAGAAGGAGTTATGGAATGCTACATTGAAACCCCCTCGCTTGTTTAGAAGGAGTTATGGAATACTACATTGAAACCCCTCGCTTGTTTAAAAGGAGTTATGGAATGCTATATTGAAACCCCCTCGCTTGTTTAGAAGGAGTTATGGAATGCTACATTGAAACCCCCTCGCTTGTTTAGAAGGAGTTATGGAATGCTACATTGAAACCCCCTCGCTTGTTTAGAAGGAGTTATGGAATGCTACATTGAAACCCCCTCGCTTGTTTAGAAGGAGTTATGGAATGCTACATTGAAACCCCCTCGCTTGTTTAGAAGGAGTTGTTGAATGCTACATTGAAACCCCCTCGTTTGTTTAGAAGGAGTTGTGGAATGCTACATTGAAACCCCCTCGCTTGTTTAGAAGGAGTTATGGAATGCTACATTGAAACCCCCTCGCTTGTTTAGAAGGAGTTATGGAATGCTACATTGAAACCCCCTCGCTTGTTTAAAAGGAGTTGACTTGAGCAATGTTAAATTGAAACCCATCCAGTTGTCTAGAAGTGAATACTTCCTGTGCTATACATTGTTTTTGTGTATACAATTATGTAATCTCGAGTATAAATGCATGTATTCAATTTTTTTTTCAGGATGAAGAGGACATAGACAATCATTTCGAAAGTGTAAAATCTCCTCTTTATAAAGATAAACTTGAAGACGATTTACGGAAGTGGAATCACGTGGTTTATTCCATAAAAAGTGCAAATAATTCAAATAGTGCTAATACAACTTTACTCGAATCTACAAGTGACATTGTTCATAATAATATTAATACAACCATCACAGATATGGAGATTCATACAACAGAGAGTTCTCACTCAGCAATTCATCATACAATTTCAGATTTTCTCGTACAAAATGGCATAACATTACAACAATTGTTGGACTACGTCAGATCTATGAAAATTTCCACGAATCCAAAAATTTTGATGTCTTTACAACAACACAAATACAAAAGAAAGAAAAGAAACTCACAAGGTGAGTCGACACAAATCTATCTTGTGTTATGACAAAACAGTAAAACATACTATTTTCGAAATGTTTTATATAGGGTTAATTTTACTTTATGACTGCAGGGGGTGGTGGGGGAGTCGAATGGAAAATTTGAGAAAAAAAGCACGAGTATGTTGAATTGCATGGTATAATAAAAAATGGTCAATAAATACCCTGGTGTTTTGTTTCTCCTCGACGAATTCAACATATTTCATTCCCTTGGGAGGTTATATGGCCCACCCCACAGCCATGGTTAATGGACTTAGAAACTTTTCCATAGTTTGGAATTGTCTCAGTTAAAGGAGAACCCCTAATGTTCAGTCAATGATATTTGATATTTATAAAAATAAGAAGATGTGGTATAATTGCCAATGATACAACTCTCCAACAGAGACCAAATGACATAGAAGTTAACAATTTCAGGTAATGGTAAGTCCTTCAACAATGAGCAAACCCCATACCACATAGTCAGCTACAAAAGACCCCGAAATGACAAATGTAAAACAATTCAAACGAGAAAACTAGCGGCCTGATTTATGTACAAAATAATGAACGAAAAACAAACGACAACCACTGAATTACAGGCTCCTGACTTTGGACAGGCACATACAGAATGTGGCGAGGTTAAACTAGTTTGTAGGCGCTAACCCTCTCCTAACCTGGGACAGTGGTGTTACAGTACAACATAAGAACAAATTATAAAAATCAGTTGAAAAGGGCTTAACTCATCAGAATGATACAAAGAAGAAATACATCTAACAAAAACACAGACCGGACGTGGCAGGGTACATCCCACAACAAAAAAGTACAGATCTGAGAGTACTCGCAGTTACTGACAGCTAGCTCAAAGCCAAATACAGCTAATAAAATCATGCATCTAAGTCTAAAATAGTTGTTTTATCATTGGCACATCTCATTTCCGTGGAGATCTTTTGGTCTCATCCCCTCAGTCGTGGTCTTTTGACCTTGAAGAAAATTGTGCCATTTTACATGTTTTTAAAACTTTTTCCATTTCACTTTCAACATTTGTATTATACTGTCAAAATTACATACAGGCAAGACATGTATCTGTGTCAGCAATTTATTTTAGTTTTCATTATGTGTACGTTTAGAAGGATAAAAAAATTCCATGTATAGTTATTGTTATAACAACACTTACAATCACTTTGTGGGAAAGTCGTTTTTTTGAATATATCACTTTATGACAAATGATAAAAGAATCATTGGTATGCATATACTTTTAGACTGAATCTAAATGGACCATAATGATAAAAAAAAACGAACATTGCCGATTTCAGGTTCAACATCTGTACAACAATATTGTGTAAAGAAAGGTGCTCCTGTTAAGAACAGTTTATTAAGCCTTTGTTCTGAATGTGCTGTTACAACTTTACTACCATCAGATCGGTATCCTAGGAAACTTAACGAGGCTGTGTGTGTTGACACTGATCTGACATGTCTTAGCTTTAGTGGAAGGCGTAAGTACTATTTTAGAAACTTTATACTTTTTTTCAGTTAGTTTAAAAAAAAAATAGTTTTATGTTAGTGGTTTAACATTCATGACACACCATTTTTACTCACCGCGTTGATCAGTGATTTTGACTATTATTCTGGCACCATTTATTGGTTTTTAATTTTATAAAGATCATACAGATATTAAAGAAATAAAGTTATTAATTGAGAACAGTAACAACTTGTTTTCACGGATTGTCACCTTTCTTGGCAGTTACATCGATACGTTTGTATCATGAATTTAAATAGCTTTGAAATGTTTGTACGGTGTAAGGAATTTTAGTATCTAAACATTCACTAATGTGTATTCATTGATTTCCTCGTCCTGGATATGCATGAAATAGTTGCCACTGGACGCTAAACAAGCAACAATCAACCAATCATCAATCGATAAATTTCATGTTGCGATCAAAATATTCTATAGGCACCACACTTTATAAGTAGTATTGTTTGTCCGGCAGAAGTAAAACAGCATACATAAAGATAATAAAAAGGAGATATGGGTTGACAATGAGACAGAAACCCAACGACACTAATATCCAAAAGACATTTAAAGGTCAACACGCATTCCTAAACAATAAACAGGCGTCATATACAATACTTCCAGATTTAAATCGTTGCTAAAACGTTGTGAACAAATTTAACAGAGACGAAAAGGGATCTACCGTCAACAAACAAGTCTTTGAATGATAACAACAAAAAATAAGACATGACAAAAGGCAACCATTGACGAGAAGCAAAGTATTATTCGTAACTTATCCTTCTTAATTCACATATAATGAGTGATGATATATTAAATTTCAAATTACGATAACCCAAAAACGTACACAAGCTTTTTTCATTCTAGCTGTATATTAATGATATTTGGGTAATTGTGTTAGCCATTATAAGCTTTCTAGAAAATTATTAATCTGTGACACGTTCTATATTTTTTTTAACTTTACCACGTTAACAGCTCATATGCAAGTTTAACTTCGTTATTGATACATGTATGACGGCGTGCACAAAGTTGACGGCAACTGTAAAATGCGCTTTTAAAAGTAGTTTTATACAATCGTGTTTAAAATATCTTTTAAAATAGGAAGTTTTTTTATGATAAGATATTGAATGCTAGCCATTAAAATCCACATTACTTGTAAGGTTATCAAAATTAACTCTATAAAGTTTGAAACGGACTATGACGTCAATCGAAATTCAATGCAACAAAATTCAAAAACGGCCATGGAAGATGAGTTTGGAATGTAGTTCGTTATGTGTAAGAAGTAGTAATTTGGAAGGATTAATATTCGAAAATGTAAGAATCGGTAAAAAAAAATATGTAATTGCTATTTTTTAATTTCGAAAAAAAACTTGATATTCCATATGTGCATAACAAGAGGTTTAAAAAAATCTGCAAAATATGAATGATTCGATAGTCCAGGCTGAACACCTGACAATTTTAAATGTCCAGCTATTATGTTACAATTTAAAGAAATGACGTTTTAACGCTATTTTCTGAATAGGGTCCACGACATAGTCGCTTATTATTTCCGTTAGACTGCTCTTAGCATATATTTATTTATATTTCCGGAATGTGTATTTGCTGCACTTTGTTGTTCGAAAAAAAAAGAAATATGTTGAACGTTTATGTCTAAAGTTATGTGATAAACTAAGTGTCCAGTGTTTTTGTTACGCGTTTGTTTTCTGAGCATGGAAAAAAAATGTCGACGTCGTAAATGATTTTTAAAAGTATTTTGAAGACGTTACATTTGTAGACTCAGCTATATGCACGTCGTCGTATACGTTAACTAAATGACTGAAGTAGTAATATTGTTTTTCTCTATTTCAGCACAAGGTGCATGCATTCCCGGTATAATTAATTTAACATTTTTACGACGTCGTCCCGGATCTTGTCGGATGATGATTAGGACGGGAGCAGTAGTTGACTTGGATGAATGGGAACCTTACACACAGAGAGTTAGAACTGGTTGTCATTGTGCCATTGATAAGCGTTCTTATATAATACCGCGCATGGACGGTTTCCCTCCTGTTGTAGGATAAAGTGCAAGCTGAGTTATACCTAGCTGGTTTGTCATTGTGCCATTGATAAGCGTTCTTTTATAATACGGCACATAGACGGTTTAGCTCCTATTATTGGATAAAGTGCAAGCTATTGTATAAATTCTTGATTTGGTTTTTTATCTATGTTGGTTTTGTGACGTTGAATAAAAAAATTAAAGCAATTATGATGTTCATATTAATTTTAAGAAAAAAACACATAACTGACAATGTTTTACACTATTGAACCTGTGCATCAGTGATGACTGATACCATGAAATAATTACTGGACGATCTGGTGAAATAACAAAATTGTAAAATTTAAAGCTAAATCTACCTTGTTGAAAGATTTAACGTAGTATCACTAATAAGAACATATCATATGACATACAAACTTTCCCAGCTGGTTTTTGAAGAATAAATTAATTCTACCGAAACATTAGTTATTTTCTTAGCAAGATGATGTGTTTTTGTTCTCTTTTTGTCATATGAATCTCAATGATATCTCTTTTTTACAAATTGCCTGAAACTGAACAGGAAATTTGTTGAATTTTGTTTCAAAGTTTCAGTCATTTTATATATAATGCCTATCAATGTTTTAGGCATTTTATAAATTGCTGAAAATTCAGTCATTTTACAAAATGCCTAAATTTAGAAAATGCCTGTAACATATATTGGCTCTAGAGCTTAGGTGGTCGGGTGGTCTAGGATGAGCAACTTGGCAAAAAAAAAAGGCAGGATGACAATTTATGTAAAAAAAATCAGGATAAACTAATGAAAAAAAGGCAGGACCGAATAGAGTGAAAAATAAAAAGGCAGGACAGAGATTACAACTAAAACAAAATGCAGGACAAAAATTTTCATCCTAGCCCCCCCCATAAAAATCAAATGATAGCTCCCTAACATTGTTGGGCTGTTGTTTAGACGACTTATATATACAGAATGTATTTTCAGCCTTGTATCACCATCACTGCTGGTGATCCGATGGATAAAATCTGTTGTGGAGTCGTCACTGGTTCAGATGTACTTATATATATATATATATATATATATATATATATATATATATATATATATATATATATATATATATATATATATATCTGTTGTAGAGTTGTCACTGGTTCAGACGTACTTATGAATATAATTATTTCTGTGACTGTATCTTGCATTAATTTGTAGGATCCTTTACAATAGATATTTCAGCTGATCTGTAACAATTCCATCTTCATGCCTTATATACCATGTACTGTATTACGACGCTAGATTAAAACTGACGAGGAAAGGTAATACCCGGCCACCGAAATCTTTATTATTGTGAAGCCTAGGTGGTCGTGTGGTCTAGCGCGTCGGATACAGTGCAGGCGATTTGGTGTCACGATATCTCAGTAGCATGAGTTCGAATCCCGGCGAGGGAAGAACAAAAAATTTGCGAAAGCAAATTTACAGATGTAACATTGTTTGGTTGATGTTTAGACGAGTGTTTAAATTGAAAACAACGTTCCTATGATTGCGTTGGATAAAAACCGCAACTTTTATACGTGTGCATGCAAAACAAATTTCTTGGTAGAGGGGTCTAAATACAGCACAAACAACATTTTCCAAAAGACCAAAAAAGTGAAAAACTATATTTTAACAAAACGCATTTGAAGGTCGAACAACGGATTCTTAAACCCTGCTGACTGCCATTGGCGATTGCCAAACAAACGGATCACTAGATGTAACAAAATGGATCTTAACTATTAATTTAATACCAAACAGAAAACAATAAACTTGCGGAAAAGATGGTATACCGCAAACAAAAAGTGCAAAAATTAGTACACCATATCCGGATTTCGACAATTAATGTCTCTTCAGTGATGTTAGGAATCGAAACGGTATTTGGAAGGCCATATAATTTACCTCAATTTAGGATAGACTCTTGAATTTTGAAGAGTCGAAATAGGATGAATGGATCATATAAACCCGAAGGCAAATATAATACAAGCCCAAACGAAAAAATATGAACAAGTCTAAATTGAAAACAACGTTCAATCCTATGATTGCGTTGGATAAAAACTGCAATTTTTATACGTGTGCATGCAGACAAATTTCTTGGAAGAGAGGTCTAAATACAACACAAACAACATTTTCCAAAAGACAAAAAAAGTGAAAAAGTATATTTTAACAAAACACATTTGGCTAGCAGGTCGAACAACGGATGTATATATATACTCTTTTCCTCGATTGTGACTTCGCAGAATGCGACTTTCATCGAACTTTCATTTGCAATGAGTAACGCGAACTGCTTACCGTTCTGGATCACCATAGTTTTAGTGCGGTTCGTGTTACTTAATCTTTAGTTTTCTGTGTAGTGTGCTGTGGACAGTATATGTATTTTCTTCTTTTTTTTCTTTGGTCATGGTATTCTTCGAATTATGGTTTTTAGTCTATCCCCTACCTAGTATCTTCAAAACTTTTTTAAACCCCGAAACCAAAATGTTGCTTCTATTAACGAATTTGATAAACTTGGTTATTTATGTTTAACTAAGAATCCTAGAATTAACAATTTACCCGTTATACATAGATTACGTTCATTGAAATCAAAGACGCTATACTTCAGACACTGACATAGCGAACGAGTTGGAAATACACACGTCGTCAAAATGGCACAAAGGAACATCATGATTGTCACGAAGGAAAAATGACAATAAGGGACGAGAAATAGTCTCTTTTTTTGTAAATAATTACATAACATTGAAGTTTCATTACGATTGGCCGAGGCATTCCAAAAGATAAATTTTATTTCCGTATATAAAACATGATTCCACACCTATGACTGAACGTGCTCTTCGTTTAGATATTACAACAATGCAAAATACAAAAAAACAAACGAAAGGCTTAACTCGTAATTAATATATGTATTGAATGCTTCTTTTTTTATGGGGGTGTAAAAACGTTGAACATGCGTACAATTTAAGTACAAAGCGCTGTCAACATTTTTACACCTTAAAAAAATTACACAAAATAGCTTTCATTTCCATTCACAATTTTATTCAATTCTTAAAACGTAAAATAACGGACATGGTGTATTAATGCACATGACAGCCCCAAGCACCAGTTTAAGCGGAATTAATTTCTAGATTTCAATGACGCTACACTTTACCCAGATACAAAGTCTCTCCCCACCCCGCATCTAATCTACCTATTTAATAGGAAGAGATAAAAGAGAGACAGAAGATCTTTCAAATGCAAAAAAAAAAAAATTAAAAAAAAAAAAAAAGAAATGGGTCTCTTCTGGCTCACTACCGACGAACAAAAAAAACATGTCTTGAATATAAAACACGCAGTAAAATACTGCACATTCTTTCAACAACAGGATGACCACTAACTTTAAACGAGGAAATAAATGACATTATTGGAAAGTATGGTCAAATTACATAGGAAATTGTCTAAAAAGAAACCACCCTATATACCTTCATATAACGTGTTATATTAAATACATAAGTAACAAAAAATCTTAGACAAGCGCTTGTGTCAAACAAAATGTGCTCGCTACTACAGTACGCTACCAAACGGTAACCACTCCTGTTGGTTGAATACTGCAGCGCAAGAAGACGAACAAAATCAGAAACAAAACTACTAACAGGTTTCATGAAGTCTCATCATAAAATTCAATTGGAATCGGCAGCATTAATTTTGAGAGTGATCAGTAAGTATTCAAAATCGCCAGTCCATCAGAAAATGAGCCTTCAAACTTAACTGGTTAGTCAAGTAAATATAATATGTGAAGTAGGAGTAAGATGTTAAGATCGTAATATTATGAAACTTTTATACATACCAATTTGATTAAATTTACACTTACATTTTTTTTGAAAGCGGAAACGGATTTTGATAAAGAAAATTCTAAATTAATTCAGTTATTAAAGCCTTAAACTTGACTTCAAAGGAGAATTAATGTTATCCTTACAACTATATGCAAACTCTTGGATTAAAGGATTTATATTTTAAAACCTATAATCTAATATTGCATGTTCATTATCAATTAATTAACAGCTGTATATGTATTTTCGAGGCGTACAAACAGCATAATTTATAATCTTAATTCTATCCATATTTGACATAAATATCATTTAAACAAATCTTCCGTTGACAATTTGTGCGGTTGTCATGATGGCTCCTTCCCTTGTCTGTTATCTGGGTGGTGTCTAGTTATTAAATTAAATAATTTTGATAATCTCGACAGATACAGACATTCCAAGGGCAATCCGCCACACACTTCTCACGTTTTATTAACATTAGAAAAGTTTATACAATCAACACGAAATGAAGTGTTTGTTTGTTGGTGGGGGTGTGCATTAGGGAAAAGAAGATCAGCGTAAATCCAGATAATCGGTTATTGACCAGACATTTAGGCCAATCATCTATCCCTTATATTGATTGGTTGATTTTAACAAACACCATTTCCTTGTTCAAAATAGTCAAATACAAGAATGAATAAACAAAAACAAATGGAAGTGCTAGCATTTTGGCAGGTTTTTTTTACTTTATCGCTAGCATTATAACCCGGCAGCAAAACATATCATATATGCAAACAACTTGATAAATATATATACATATATAAACACTTTTCAAAATCGTGGTTATAATAAAGTACACACTGATCGAGATTTTAAAAAGGCTGAGAAAAAAGGGAGAGCCCCCGGGGTTGAGATTTAAAAAAAAACCAAATTTGATCCACTCATCTCTCTTTATTCATGTTAACTTCATCATAAACGTCATAAACTCAATATCGAAAGGTTGCACTTATCAAAAACAAATTCAAGGACTCGGATCAAAATACAACAAAATTTGGTAATTTCTAAAAGGAACTGTTTACTTCTTTCCAATGCATTGTCAACGGAAAACAAAATTTTATGATGTCACAAAAATATCATTTACTACTTTTACAACATTAAGGGAAAACACCGCTTGTTTTGTTCATTGGCCATCGGCAGGAACTAAATGAAACGGAGCTTCAATCTGCCTGACCACTCTGCATACAATTTTTCGGTTCAGGTCACTTTTTGATTCTCGTTCAAAAAAGTTGCGACATTTGAACAAACAAAATTAGTTCAAGGCAGGAGGTTTTATTACTTTAGTGTTACTTACTAAACTTGATAATTATATTCAAAGTTATAGCGGTAATTTGATTTAAAAATTTGGACCAAAGTTAGTATTTAGATTAAAGGCCTTTTAATTATGCCACCATAAGTAAGTTTAATTATGAGTAATCAGTAAATAAGATTGATAGGTTTACAGGTTGTCACATTGATAGAAGTTACGACATGATGATTAGATAAGGTGACGTGCTGTAAATCTTTTTAAAACTCTGGAGTAGAGACAACTTTGTGCTTTGGTATGATTTTTACATTTGCTT